AACTGACAAGGCTCGGTCAGTTGTATTCTATGATTCATATAGGACTGCATTTTCCTCCACAATCATAACAGCACTGACCTACCATCTTCCTTATTAAATATCCTCGCAGATTCAGTAAAAAAATTAATGTAAGGGCAGAATTACAACTGAGTATGATACTGTGTGTATGGTTTTTTTTAATGTCTAGGTAATCAAGGAAGATTACTTTTGCACAGGGATGTCAACAAATTTAAAATGTGGGGAGAAAAATCAATCCAGGGTCAGAGTGCAATAATAATAACTTATAACATCTTCAAATAGCACTGGGATATACTCCTGTCTGCAACCCCGAAGAGCCACTGCTGGTTTGTGCAGATGGGAGGTAGAAAACCTGTTGCCCTCCAGATGTTTTGGATCACATCTCCCATTCACTATAATCAATACAGACATTAATCAGGGGATATGAAAGTAGTCCAAAACTTCCATAGGAAATTATGTTTCCTATTCAATTGTAGAGAATTATGATTTTTATATCCCTCATTTCCTTATTTTAAACTATCCATTTTTCGTTTTGGTATAACTCAATTGATATCTAGGTTTTATGTGCACTATCTAAAACACCCATTTCCCAAATTAGATCTTTCCAAATATGTTGAATTTCAACTAGTATAATTCCCATCCAGCAGAGGACATATGGGAATTGAAATTGTCACATCTGGAAGACACCAGGATAGTTCTGCATAGGCAGAATTAAATGGACACCATACAAACATCTGCACAGTCGTGAAGCTATTTGTCTGGCTGCATTGGTACCATACATTTGGGTTAGTTCAGCATGGGAAAAAAGATGCTGAATTATTGCCAAGCTAAAAATTTTCAGACAGTTCTTCTTTGACAAAGTTTAAACACTGAAATTACAACCTAAGCATTTCAATACTGTGCGACAGCCAGTTATTGCAAGGAATAAAAAACAGCATGCGGTCTGTTTAATGCTGTTAGAACAAACATGGCAGATATGAAACCCAGGGTTAAACAGTGAAGGACGTTATCCTTGTTAAAATAAATACTTTGAAGAAAAGCTGTAAATATGTTTACCAAGAACCTTCTAGTAGTTTTGGCAAAAGGAGTTGATGGTTGCTAAACTGAATTGTCTTCCAGCCAATCATATCAACGTTAATAATGGTATATGCAAATTTCATTGGATAAATACTAGTACATAATTGCTTACAGTCAGATGAGGAAATTTTCAGTTTGATTTGAAATGAAAGTTTAGTGTAAGAAGAGTTTTCAAATATTTATTTTTTTCCCAACATTGGAACTTTAAAAAAAAAAAAAAAGATTTAAGATAAATTTCTTCTAGATTACCTAAACTAAGACCTTTACAATGCCAGTTTCCCAATTAAACATGTTTCAGTTTCAGTCCCCTTTCCAAAGTATAAAGATTGTGCTTTGTGCGTGTGTGAGTGTATGTGTTTATTTCTGACATGTTCCAATACTAAACAGTTTTAATGAATGTGATATATTACAGCAGGGGTGTCAAACTGCGGAAGCCACTCCAAATCCAGCAAAAGGGGAAAAGTCACGATATGTTGCGACATGTCACATGACATGGCGAGTTTGACACCCCTGTATTACCCCTCAAAAACACAAATAGACACAAGTACTGTGCAATGCTGCATATGTGTGTGATATATATCAATTGATGTCTTGGATCGCAACCACAGAAGCAGCAATATTTCTAATTTACTTATCTGAAGAACTGTATTTTCAAATAGCTCATTGCTAGAAATGATAGCTTTAAAAAGTCATTAATGAATTTAAATCTGCACTTCAATGCATTTCATTGCTATTAAAATTATGTTCCAATGTCCTGTATTGACAGCAACAATGAAAAAAATAGAATAAACCAAGGTAATAACAAAACAACAACAACAACAACAACAACAACAACAATAATAATAATAATAATAATAATAATAATAATAATAATAATAATAATAAGTTGAAAGGACCTTGGAGACCATGTAGTCCAACACCCTGCTTAGGCAGAAAACCCTATACCAGGGATGTCAAACTCGCAACGTCACATGACGTGTCATGATGTATCGCAACTTTTTTTTCATTGCCAGCAATGGGGTGGGCACAGTTTCCCCATGATGCATCCAGCCCATGGGTCAGCAGTTTGACACCCCCTGGACAAATGGCTGTCCAGTCTCTTCTTAAAAACTTCCAGTGTTGGAGCATTCACAGCTTATGGAGGCAGGTTGTTCCAATGATTAATTGTTCTAACTGTCATAAAATTTCTCCTTAGTTCTAGGTTGCTTCTCTCTTTGGTCAGTTTCCATCCATTGCTTCTTGTCCTGCTTTCAGGTGCTTTGGAGAATAGCTTGACTCCCTCTTCTTTGTGGCAACCACTTTGGCACCTGAAGGCTACAGAGACACCTGCAATACTTTTTCAGACTTCCAAACCTACCTATCTTTATAGTTTCTGAAAGATGTCAGCTACATTCCTGCGATTTTAATGTGGAAATCACACACAAACACAGAGTATATGGCCAAAAGGAGATTTAACTTAATTTGAAATAAAAGAACCTCCCCCGACACTTAATCCCCCAGACCAAGGAAAACAATCAGAAATAGCCTAGTTTCCCGATGCCTGTAGCTATCACATCTGTAAAATGTCAAGTTGGACTCTGGGCATCAAAACTTTAGCTCCCCTGGCCTATGCAGAAACTGTTATAAAATAGTCAGAAAGTCCAATAGGAATGACTCATGCTTTATTCTGTGCAACAGTACTGCAGAAAGATATGTGATGTTTATCCACCTGCTAAACATTTTTAAGGGAACTCAAGGGAAACTTTTCCCCCACTTTCTAAATTCAGAGAGCCACTGAAGAATGCAAGTCTTGGAGATACTGTTTTGCTGCTAAGTGTCTGTTCATCACCTATTTTCTTTTAAAACATGATGGTCAGCTGCAAATCAAACGATTCCACTACTCTCCAAAGACTTATTTTTCTGTTTGCAAAATTCAGAGGCAAAAGAGTGAGCTTAGTTCAGTCCCTAGTGGTCAACTGCAGAACATAAACAATTTCCTAGACATGAGTTTGCAGGACAGTTCTTTTCAGAAGGAAAAAAAGGAAAGCAAAAGGAGCAGAGGAATCTTCCACCTTGCAGAAAAGTTTGTGAAAATCGGCTGCCAATGAATGAATGAATGAATGAGTAGACTGCATCACATTTCAAGGTCTCCTTTACATGAAAGCCTCCTCTTGCTAAACTCAGATGTGCAGTTCCAAGATGCAGTTGACTTCTGTGGGAATAATTCCCTCTTATGACAAGAGAAAGATAATGCAGCCCATTATATAAGAACGCATCTCATCAAAACAGGAGAAATGGAAGGTTTCCACCAGCAATTCTTGCAACTGCTACTATACATGGAAATGAGCCATGCCACCTGACAGCCTTTCAAAAACAAAAGATCTTTGACAAGTCTATCTTTATGTGACTCAAAAGCAGTGGTGGGATTCAGTTGGTTTGCACCACTTCAGCAGAACCGGTAGCTAATTTTTTTGTTGCCCAGGCCTATAATGGACTTCCGGAAGTGGCATCCACACAGAGAACCGGTTGTTCACATATTTGAATCCCACTACTGCTCAAAAGCACATGTTGTCATTTCCAAATGCTTGAAGGTTTGACTGGCCAAAGGGGACGCAGGCTTTTCTCTGTGTGGCTTCACTTGGCAGGACAAGAAGAAGTGAATGTAAATCGGTGGGACCAGATTTTGATTAAAAGTTTGGAATGATAAATTTTGCAGGGTGACACAGGCTGCACAGGCAGCTGGAGGCTTTCAAACAGAGCTAGAGAGCCTTCTTTCAGGGAGGTCCTTGTATGAGCAATAGGCTGGACTGGATGACTTCCAACCCACTTCCAATGCTAGCATTCTATGATAGATTAAGTAAATAGTTACGTTTGCCTTCTAAGAATGAAACTCTATGTGCTCTTCTCTAGGGGTAAATCCTATAAAACACTTTCGGAACCCATTTCTGAGAAAGCATCCTTAACATATAGTGCTGCACATGCTTATTTTTTTAACATTCATTTAGGGTTTCAGTGAACACATGATGCACCACTTTGAGGAGTGGGATAATTAATGAATGAAGAGTGTGTGGAACACGCAACACTGAGGAAACGTCTCAGTGTTCATTTAGTTTCTTAGAACTGCCAGAGTGATTGCAAACCACTTAGGATGGGTCAGCCACAAGCCTGGTTCAAAATATGAGCAGTTCTTAAGACTGGGATTAATTATCATTTCTCCTGAGTTAAAACAAAATGCTCCTGATTTCCCTATAGTTCTGCACTGATAGGCATGGTGCTTCGTTTCAGCCAAGCATTTCTACCAAAATACACATCTAACATTGCTAACATGCAGCACGTTTTTGCTCAAATGAATCCAAAAATTATGAGAGGAGTCCAACAGCTTATCTCTATGGTACAATGCACTAAACAGTTAATTTTACTTAAAACCATTCATTACTGAGCCAGCACAGTGTCAAAGGTTGCTTCAGTGATAATGGTGTCTGCTAATCTTTAATGTTTGTTGTCCCGTGCAAGTAGCTTTGTTTTTAATTTATTTTTAAAAAAAATCTTTATAACAAGAGCCTACAGACAAACAATACTGATCACAGGTATTTTAAATAACATGGAAATCATTCCTAAAACACCTTGTAGAATGCACTTGTTAAACTACTTTTAACAGTCAGCACATCAAGATAGCCACCTGGCCATTGATCATTAGCCACCTCAGCTGAATGTCCCTGAATTTCTTTAAATCAGTTTGAAAGGAAAAACCAACAAGCCAATATCTGCCAATCCCTGATCGAACTTTTGTTGCCAGTTATTCACAGGGAACAATTTTCAGGGTGTTCTTTATTGATGACGGTAGCGAACATAACATCTCCATTGGAATGGTACATCATGCAAAAATCAACGCAGGTGTCTGAACAGTCCCAAACTGAAGGACTTACCTTTTGCAGCCACTGAGTGTAATTTTCCATGACATGCTCCAGCCGTTGCAGTTTCTGGGAGGAGAAATCTGGCTCCATGTGAGGGGCATCCCTTTGCAGTGCATTGGTGTTGTATTGGTCAGAGGAAGTTTCACGACAGTTTCCATCCTGTTCAGGAAGTATGAACGTGTAGGTGCACTGGCCATGCTGAATCCGATTATACCTTCGTGCGTTGGACTCCGGAGCTCGGCGTGGACTAGTGCAGCTTATGTGCTTCAGAAGGGAAGCAAGGAACACAAACCACAAGAAAATGGTCATGTTACTTGCCCTCTTCTGCCCTGCTCTTGACAGCTTGATCCAAACCTCCTCTCCTCTCCTTTTCCTTCCCTTTCCCCCCCCCTCCTCTTTTTAATATTTGCTTTGCCTTTAAGAATTTCTTTAGAGGAGAAAAAGATAAGGAAAAGGAAAGAAGGTTCAGAAAATAATAATGAGCTTTTCTTTTTTTTTAAAAAAAAAAGATTATTTCTAATTCTCAATGCTTCCTTAGCTAAAGCAGGAGCAATTTATCGCATAGTAGCAGAGATTTATCGTTTCCTCTCTGTTATACTTCAGCATGCAGTCCCCTGGACTCAGCTGCCCAGGCATAGCCTCCGAGTCTTTCTTCTACTCTAGCTGCCGCTGAACTGCTATTTTGTCGGAGACCTCAGTGTGTTTTATTAAGGTTGTACATTCAAGCCAAGTTGGAAGCTGGCAGCCTTTCACAAGATGACTTGACAGGAATGTGTGTGTGAGTGTGCCTGGGATGCCTGATCCATTTGGCAAAGAGGGATCATCTTACACGCTGGCTCGAAACATGCCCTCAAACATGTAAGCCTGCTTAGCTCCTCCTGCACACAAGATGACTGAGAGCATTTCCCTAAGCTGAACAAGTCCGACAGTCCACCTTAATAGACTTCCTACTTGGAGACTGAACTCTTAAAATGTACTTAGAGGGAACCAAACTTGTTGTAATCCCTCCCCAGTAAACATTAACATACAGACCACTGCACATGGAAAATATCTGCTGCTATCCTAGAAGGGTTAGGAGACTGTGTGACTTTTTTCGGAAATGCTAAATTGGGGAATGATCTGAGAAATGAAGGAATAAAGGCTGAGATTGCCAGTGTAGCAAGACTGTTTCTCTTACTTAAGGCATAGGAAGTTTGCTATATCAGAGATGTCATCAAATGTGTTGAAAAAATTCTTAAGAAAACATCATTGTGAGGTAATCTCTTTGCATGTTGCTAGATTGAAAACGTGCTGCATATTTAACGGGGGACATGCAAGTGATAAGATTTTTTTTCTCCATTGATCTTAAGATTTCAGATACTGAGACATTGATAACATGAACTTTATGGACAGGTATACTTTAAGCTTTTTGGACAGGTATACTTTAAGCAATTTCCCCATGCATATTCTTTTGTCTGTGACTTCTTAAACAGGGAGAGAAGCTTAAAATTACAATGACAGACCCCTAATTCCAGTTTCAACCAACCTGCATTGCACAGGATTATGAGCAAAAGATACTGAGTTTCCCACTCCATCAATTTAAAGAATTATCCAACCATTGCTGTGACAATATACTATAACTTCAACTTCTTAAGTATTATATCAGTACTGTGATGGCTGGACAATGCTACAAACCATGAGTGTGGGTAGTCTCATACCTTAATTTATTTATTCTATGTGTATCTAGGCTGGGAGCCCAAGGTAGAATAGAAAGTGAGTCCTAATTTTATCCTTTAGAACAATCTGTGCAAGTCATTTGGGCTGAGAGACAATAACCATCTCAAAACACCATAGTGAGCTTCGTGATCAAGTAGAAACAACTGGATCTTCCCAATGCAAAGACACCTTCACCACCACAATGCATTGGCTGTCAGTAGGGTGGACAACTAATGCTACCAACCTATGGCTTGAATTAGGGTATGTTGTGTCTGCCACCAGAACTATTTACTTCTTATTAGGTTTTAGGTTTTAGGTTTTATTAAATTTATACCCCGCCCTTCTCCTGGCGGACTCAGGGCGGCTGAGTCCTGGTACATGATACCTGGTATAAATAACCTGGTATCATGTAGCCAGTTTCGTGATGTCATGTCCAGTAGTAACCTCTACAGAAGTTTTTTTTCATGTGTCATAATTAAAGTTGTGTATACTAAAACAGTGTGACAGAACATATGGGCATATTTCATGACATAACTAGTTTTATAGCAACACTATGGGGAATTTTCTCTCTTGGGAGAGAAAATTGGAGTATGATCTCAACAGAGATTCCTATAATATAATATGCTTTCAATCAAGGAGTTGTTCAAACATGATGAATGGCATTAATGCATGGTTCTTTATGCCACTGGTTTGCAGTGTTTCTAATCATATGAACAGATTCCTATGGAGATATAGCCAAGTAGACTGGTAGACACATGCAATCATTCCATCCAATGTGAAGAGATGCCTTGAGTGTAATGACTCAATTCATAATGTTTAGATTACATCAACTATTCCAGTACAAATGACCAGTATCTGCATGCTGGCAAAGTGAATTCATTGAAGCTCCATATTCATTAAGCAAAGAAAAGTCCAGATCATAAAGGTAATTTCAGTTCATCAAAAAAAAGTGAAGCCATCAACTATGATCCTGCTTCTCTCTCCACAAATTGACTCCACATTACTCACTTGCACAGAGGACTCTTCAATATTATTTCAGTGTTGCAAAGCAGCAAAGTTATTTTGCACAACTGGATCAACTATCAATCAGAGAGTTGCCAGTGATTGTGTATTTTTTAGTAGCTTTCAAACTATACATTGGAAAATCCCAAATATTCCCCAGGAGTATGACTGATGCAGCCTCTATGACTGGTATACATTTTCAGTAGAATTGTGTAAATGATCAAGGATGTCGTTGTTGTTTAGTTTTGCTTTCTGCTTTTCTGTTGTAACTACAGTATTAGATAAATGGTACATAAACAATATGTATCTTTTCTAGTTTATTGTCATAAAAAATAAGCAAAAACAACTACAATAAAAAGTAGAGGAAATTGTGCCTGTTTTTCACCCACTACATTTAGGTCTCTTAGACATTAACCTGACACATATTTGACACAGTTCCACACCAGCTGGCATCACTACTTTTATAAAATTCTGTTGAGTGAAGCTTTATTCTAGGGTTTGGCAACTATCTTATGTTCTTGGATGCCATTGTGCAATCGCATCATGGTGCAGACATTCAAGACAAGCAAAAGTTGCCCCAGATCTCACCACCTTGTTCAGTTTATTTTGTGAGATCTTGTACAAGTATCTAGTTTTTTAATTGCTTATTGTTTTTAATTTGAATTCTTTTTAAAGGACTCATGAAACAGCTGCTGAGATTTGATGGCACAATCTGAAAAATAATTATTTATGCCTCTTCAGCTGAATAGATTTCTAGTTGTCCCTATCACTATGATTTCCCCATTGCATAAGTTGGTAACATTATTCAGATGTGTTGTGGTTATAGTTTCTTCTTCCAGGTGCCTGCACACTTATTCAAACTACATAATTCAAAATACCTGAAGAGAGATTTAAGTAGGCATCAACTTTGGGGCACCAAAGATAATGTTATTCTTCCAAGACATTAATCTGTTAATGTTGAATTTATATGCTTCATAGCAGCATTTTAAATTCTCTGGCTGTTGTTTTGTCTACTTCATTGCATATTTTAATGATTATCTTTATTTTATTGCCTATCTGACATATTACTCAAAATGTTTGTGGCAATTCTTGTGATTTACATGTGTTATAAACTGCCTGGGAAAATGTTACTTTGAAGGGTGGTGCGTACATTTTTAAAGCAAAATAAATATAAATAATATTTCATAGAAGATTGCATGAGGAGAAAAATATAATTTCTTTGCTGAATGATTGTGGTACCAGAACCAATCAGCAAACTACCCTGAAGCTATCTTGGCCAATAACTGTCTCTCCTCACTTATCTTTTTTGTAGCAATGAAATTTGATCATGTAAAGAGAATTAAGTGTATTCTCTTTCAGTGTCCGGAGGGACTAATCAGATCTGATTAATGAGAGTGTGGCTGAGGATCTACTCAATCTGTTTGGGTGGCCATCTACTCCAAAGTTTTCTGGAACATATAGTATTCTCCTGGATGCCACACCTTTCCAGAAAAGCAGGAAAGATTGCTAATTAGGGATTTAGGGGGTGGAAGAGATTGGACTTGCTTGTGCCAAGAGCTGCAGGCATGGTGTCTTGGAGGTAACTGTGAAATTGTATTAACTGCATCTTGATGGAATGACTTCTCATTCCCTTCATGGACAAGCAACTCAGGGTTCATAATTTTGAGCCTTCCCATGATAGATTTCCTCAGCTGCAGGAGTTGGAATAGCTTTCTTCAGGGACCAAATAAATTATAACATAGAAACTCATATATATGAAGAATGTATGCAGCAAGAAAGCCCTTTGGTTATTTGCTGGATCCAGACAATGCTTTTTAAAAATTATTTTCCGAAACTAAACCAGAAGATCCTACAGTGTTTTAAGAATAATGTCACATTTTAAAGGGATTGTACATTGATGCAGTGGAGCACGGAGTGCAATTTTTCATTTCCAAACAGATGGAAACCAAAGAAATATTCCAATTGCCCACATCATTTTGAGTCCAACTCCCCTAGAACTGGCGCCAAATCAAGAAGGAAAGACTACCATTTGGGCTGAAAAAATCTGAACCACTACTGATGATTAGATGACATCAGATGATTGTCAGCTGTTAATGACTGCATAGATAGATTTTCTCCAAATGACTCTGCCTCCACCTGGTCTTTCAGGTCTTCCAGCCATGTACCATTTGCCCTGTAACTTAGTCCGTTCACTTTGTTGCTAGTCATCCCCTTTTTTTCTTTCTTTCCACCTTTCTCAGCATTAGAGCCTTCTTTTGGAGAGCTAGGTATTTGCATAATGTATCCAAAGTATGATCATTTGAGCTTGGTCATTTGTGCCCGAGGTGAGAATTTTATGTTGATTTATTTGAGGGTGCATTTGGTTTTTTCTTGGTTGTCCACAGTATCCTCACGGTCTTCTCTAAACCAAAGTTCACAAGCGTCGATACTCTTCCACTCCTGATGCTTTAAAGTACAACTTTTGTTCCCTAACGTATCATGGGAATACCATTACTTAGTTTGATCTTTGTAACTATAGACACATCATGGCATCTGAATATCTTTTCCAAACCCTTCATAATTATTCTACCCAGTCTTGTAGCAGATTACTTGACTGCTTGTTCTTTTATTGT